TTTCTCTCTTTTTCTACATATACTCATTATTTCCCTCTCTCTTTTGACATGATGTCGTTTTATTCAAACGTATTTTTCTTTGTCGTCTTTTTACGTATATAATTTTTTTTATTTTACGACAATATTTTATAAAATTAACGTCAATAATTAACAAGTAAAGATTTAGTCGGCCCAAATGGGCCGATTGCCAAATCTGTACTTGTTAATTAATCATGTTTTCTTTAATGGTAAAATGTTGGAATGAAAAGCGCTCCACTTTTAGCACATTGTACATTTTACTATGGTCTTCAAAGTAGTTATCTTTATAAAAGTGATAGAATAAGGATATTAAAATGGCAAAAGATGGCCATAGATCATCATAACTATCAGGAACAGTGATTGAAGAAGTAACAGTAAAGAAGGAAAAGAAGAAACATAAACTTCAATGCCATCCATATGTTCCATGACGAAATAGCAGTATGTAATTCATATACACATATGCAGCATGCGTTTGGATGATACGCTGAAAATGCTGCTCAAATCCAGTGTTTTGACGAAGACTGTTATTGCCTCTCAAGGTAAGAACAGTGTCACGAAAGCTTCTATCACTATACTCAATAAGGATAACCGCAGCAAATTCTGAATACGTCTGTCACTTCCTTCAATCAAACGCATTCTCATGGAAAGACTGATAACAATGTACGGTGCATTAGTTTCTGTTTGATCATTATTATTACTGTCGCTTTCATGGCTGCTCAATATCTCATGTGCATGACGATATACACGTGCGAAAGGGTTGCATAGGGCAAGCATGACTGAAATATCTCTAATGATCTCAGGATCAAGGCAGCTATTTCGTACTTATCTTCGTTCAGCGGCATAGTATGGATCAAAGATATACAGCTGGGCGTAAGAAGGTTCACTGCCCTTAATTGGAGTCAAGGGGCCTTGACAGTGGCAAAGTGCACCATGGATTTGAAAGGCATTTAATTCACCTCTATTGTTATTGTTGTTGCTGTTGTTGTTGACACGATCCTCAGGTGAAATAATATCGCAACCCAACAAAGTAAAGGCAAAGGCAGCATTATATTGACGAAGATTGTCCTTAAAGTGGTGACCATGGGTGTCTGTACGTTCGAGCAAGTCCTTCAAGTACTCAGGTAGATCAGGCAAGAGTTGCAACTGGACTGATCCCTGCTTGCATCATGATTCCCGGCTGGGGTTTCTCATCGAAGATATCTCTTGCCTTTCATCGATCCAGTGCAAGGTGTGACAGTGTGAGCATTCCTTGTCCATACGTCCAAGGTCCAAAGGACAAAGGTGAGAAAGCTGCGATATAAGCAGCAGGAATGGTCTGAGAAGGTTCTACTCTAGGTCTTCCCCTACGTCTTACTGGTCTGCCTTCCTGCTCTTCTTGTTCAGCTCGACGTCTGTGTCATGATGCTGCAACTCTTTCTCTGCACGCTTGGCAGGTGCAATAGCGTGAATCTGCTGGCAATATCGCAACACAGTAGGAGTATATGGTTGTTCTAGAAGTATTGTTTTCCATTGTTCTAATGAGCTACAATGTCAGCAGACACATTCGAATAAAAAAAAACATTACATACCAAATTATTTCAAAATGTTTATACGATGAGTAAAGAAAAGAAACGCTTAATGCGATGAGAAAAGAAAAACGTTTATATTCGAAAAGAAAGGAAAGAAAGCTCATGTACTTTCAGGAATCAAATGCTTGTCCCGCAGGTTCAATGTTCGAGTTGGAAAAACATTAAAAAGCAGTCAAATCGTGTGATATAGAGCGTTCTAATAGCATCAGATAAGAGATCAGATAAGCACAGTAACACCAGGACTGCACTCGCTTCAATATTTAACCGTTCTTGGTTGGGTTGTGACCCTTGCTTAACACCTCTCTACCTTTTTATTGTGTATCCTCAAGTTGTTATTTTGAGCATCTTAGTGCCATCAGCATATAAAGTCAGATTATTAGCTTGTATCAAAGCATGTGTATAACAAATTCAGGTACAACTCTTGAATATTTGTCAGGCACAAATAATCTTTTAAACAGAAAACGACAGTTTCCCCCCTTTAGTTTGTCTGTACAAACCTTGTTCTCGTTCTCAGGTATCCATTTTAATAAAATTAAGCATTTTATCGGATAGCTGATTTCCCGTCTACTCCACAGTTTCCAGATTTTGGGGGTTTCATTTGCCACCCAAAAGAAGATAAAGTGATGAGAGTGGGGTAAGTATCCCTTTTCGCTGTTGCTACTGCTGTTGTCTTTTGAAGCCAAAGAAGTCAAGTGTGATAGTGACAATTATATACTATCCTCATCACAAGTATGTGTATACCAGCACACTCCACTTTTCTTCTAATTCTCTGTTTACTTTTCAATGAAATCGTCCTTTTTATACAACAGAGGCAAAAAATAAAGCTTACTTTAAATGGTAAAACAAGTGTCATACAGAATCTTTAATTCTCAAATCTTCAAATTACAATATTTATATAATGTGAATGACTAAACACAGGATGCCAAATGGATACTATGTGTACCATAGAGTCATTATTTCTTCAAAAGGAAAGCAAATGCAAATTTGTAAGCGTTATTTGAACAATTTCAAGCGGGAATAACTTTAGGCATTGCCCCGGTTTCCAATTTTTACATGTGACATCATTTCTAGGCAATATTGGCCTGTGACAAGGACTTTAGCTTGCCTTATTTGGTATATGGTTTGTACTCCACTGTAGCGGGGTAACCCCTGCAGGATATCACAATTCATCAATTTTTTCTTATATAAGCCGTTTGGATGGAGTTTATTATTTATTGAAATTTTCTCAATTTTTTCTTTTCTTTTCTTTTTTTTCTTATAAACAAAAAGAAGAAAGATGTCTGCTATTCGTGCATTCACCTCCGTCAAGGTACGACTGTTATCATCAAGTTAAACTTGTCACTTATACATTATTAGGCTGCTGCTCGTCAAACTTCCTTCCGCTTCACTCCTGCTGTTGCCATCGGTGCTACTCGTGCTTACTCTTCCAAGGTTAAGGTGTGTTGATATTAGACGCGTATATGTAGAAGTGAAAAAAGAGCAGAGATTAACTATCTTGTAGTCCTTGAAGGAACGTCTTGCTGAACTTATCCCCGAAAAGCAAGCCGAAGTCAAGGCTTTCAAGAAAGAATATGGTTCCAAGGTTCTTGGTGAAGTCACTGTTGACCAAGTTTACGGTGGTATGCGTGGTATCAAGGGCCTTGTCTGGGAAGGTTCTGTTCTTGATGCCGAAGAAGGTATCCGTTTCCGTGGTTTGACCATCCCTGACTGCCAAAAGGCTCTTCCTGCTGCCAAGGAAGGTGGTGAGCCTCTTCCTGAATCTCTCTTCTGGTTGCTTGTCACCGGTGAAATCCCCACCGAAGAACAAGTCAAGGCTCTCTCTGCCGAATGGGCTGCTCGTTCTTCTCTTCCCGCCTTTGTTGAAGAAATCATTGACCGCTGTCCCAAGACCCTTCACCCCATGTCTCAGTTCTCTCTTGCCATCAACGCTCTTCAACACGAATCCCAATTCGCCAAGGCTTACAGCGCTGGTATTCACAAGTCTCAATACTGGGATCCTACCTTTGAGGATACCATGGATTTGATTGCCAAGCTCCCCAACGTTGCTGGTCGTATCTACCGCAACATCTACAAGGATGGCAAGCTTCCTTCCATTGAAGCCGATAAGGATTACTCTTACAACTTTGCCAAGCTCTTGGGTTACGAAACCAACGAAGACTTTGTTGAATTGATGCGTCTTTACCTCACCATCCACTCTGATCACGAAGGTGGTAACGTCTCTGCTCACACGTAAGTATTAATATCCAAATGAAAATGAGAAGGGGTGTGCTGATATCATTGTATAGTACCCACTTGGTCGGTTCTGCTTTGTCTGACCCCTATCTCTCTTTCGCCGCCGGTTTGAATGGTTTGGCTGGTCCTCTTCACGGTTTGGCTAACCAAGAAGTCCTCCGTTGGACCTTGAAGATGAAGGATGCTATCGGTTTGGATGCCAGCGAAGAACAAATCAAGAAGTACTTGTGGGATACCCTTAACAGCGGTCAAGTCGTTCCTGGTTACGGCCACGCTGTCTTGCGTAAGACTGATCCTCGTTACACCGCTCAACGTGAATTTGCCCTCAAGCACTTGCCCGATGACCCTCTCTTCGGTTTAGTCTCCAAGTTGTACCACATCATTCCTGGTGTTCTTACTGAACACGGTAAGACCAAGAACCCTTGGCCCAACGTTGATGCCCACTCTGGTGTTCTCCTTCAATACTACGGTCTCACCGAACAAGATTACTACACCGTTCTCTTTGGTGTCTCTCGTGCTCTCGGTGTCACTGCTCAATTGATCTGGGACCGTGCTCTCGGTATGCCTCTTGAGCGTCCCAAGTCTTACAGCACTGCTCACCTCAAGAAGATGTTCGGTGCCAACTAAAGTAAATAGCTTACAACGGTAATATTTTTATTTCCCCCTTCCCTTTCTGTAAATTTTTTGTCTCTGTTATTATTTAAAAATGCCAAAAGAATAAAAGAGAATAGTTTATCTACTAAACGATAGTAGTGGAATGTGTATACAAAATGGAGGACAAGGACACAACGGCTGTGTAAATGATCTTGGACTATCGTCATACAATGAGGCGCAGAAAGAATACTAGACTCAAATATTATTAAAGAAAAACACGACAACTTCAATCAATACTATTTATTGCTTTATTCAATCATTACAAGACTCATTGACTATCAACAGGAAACGGTTTCAAGTCCCACACCTTTTCAGCATATTCAGCAATAGCACGATCCGAAGAAAAGAAACCCATGCCAGCCGTACATAAAATAGACTTTTTGGTCCATTCAGCCTTGTTTTTGAATGTAGCATCCACTTTTTCATTTGCTTGAAGATAAGCATCAAAGTCAGCAGAGATCAAATAAAAGTCACCACCATAAGTGAGCGTGTTAATAAGAGGCGCAAATACAGAGGCATCACCAAACTGACCAGATTGAATAGCATCGATAACTACCTGAAGCTGCTCATCTACCATGAGACCATGATACTTTTGCTGATGACGAAGGTCATCCACTTCGTCAGCCAAGACACCAAACATGAAGATGTTCTCTTGACCAATTTGCTCAGCAATCTCAATGTTTGCTCCATCCACTGTACCCAAAATCAAACCACCGTTCAAGACGAACTTCATGTTGGAAGTACCAGAGGCTTCTGTGCCTGCTGTAGATATATGTTGAGAGATATCAGAGGCAGGTATGATAAGTTCAGCGCGAGATACGTTATAATCAGGAATAAAGATCACCTTGAGCTTGTTTTCAATATCCTCATCTTGATTCACCACTTCAGCAACGCTATTAATCAATTTGATGACTAGCTTGGCAATATAATAGCCAGGAGCAGCCTTGCCCCCAAAGATGACCACACGAGGAACAGCTTCATCAAGCTCTTGAGCAGACATCTTCTTTAGCTGCTTATATCGATAAATGACGCCAAGAATGTTCATGAGCTGACGCTTGTACTCATGGATACGTTTCACTTGAATATCAAATAAGGCATGAGGGTCGACATTCACATTCAGATTATCCTTGATCCATTCAGCCAGACGTCTCTTGTTATCTAGCTTGACAGCTGCCCACTGTTCTTGGAACTCACTGTTGTCTGCATGTTGTTTTAAACCTTCAAGAAGGTTCAAGTGTGTGACCCATTGTTCTGATCCACCCAAGGTCTTGGTAATCAAATCTCGAAGCCCAGGGTTTGCTTGGTAAAGCCATCGACGGGGAGTGATACCATTAGTGATATTGATAAATTTTTCAGGACCATAGTACTTTATGAAATCGCTAAACAGATGCTTCTTGATCAAGTCAGAATGAAGTGCTGCTACACCATTGACCTTGTGAGAACCAACAACAGCCAGATGAGCCATACGCACTTGCTGAGGGGAGCTTTCTTCAATGATAGACACACGTTTGAGCAGTTCACGGTCGCCCAAGTATTCCTTTTCCACCTTTTGCAAAAAGAAGAGATTGATGTCGTAGATAATTTGCATGTGACGAGGCAGAATCTTTTCCATCAAGGGTACCGACCAGCGTTCCAAGGCTTCAGGCAAGACAGTGTGGTTGGTGAAACCGAATGTGTGAGTGACAATATCCCAAGCATCATCCCAGTCGAGACCTTCGATATCGACAAGGATACGCTGTAATTCAGGCACAGCCAAGGTAGGATGCGTGTCGTTCATTTGAATAGCTACCTTGCTAGGGAAGTCCTTCCAGGGACATTTGGCTCGCTTAAATCGGTGTATGATATCTTGAAGAGAGGCACAGACAAAGAAGTATTCCTGCTTCAGTCGAAGTTCCTTACCGACCAGATGATTATCGTTTGGATAGAGTACAGAAGTCAAGTTTTGAGCATTGTTTTGTTCGGCGACTGAACGATCATAATCACCTGCATTAAACGAATCAAAATCAAATGTGTTTAAGGGCTTTGAGGCCCAAAGACGAATATTGCCACAGAACTTAGTGTTGAAACCAGGGATAGGCATATCATACGCCATCGCCTGGACCTTGGATCCACCTTCCCAAGACATACGTGATTCTCCCTTTTCGTTTACCTTTGTGGCCACATAACCGCCAAATCGGACCTCGTAACGGATATCTGTACGAGGAAACTCCCAAGGATTATTAAAGTTGAGCCAGTAATCAGGCATCTCGGTCTGATAGCCGTCCTTGATGATCTGTTTAAAGATACCGTACTGATAACGAAGACCGTATCCCCAAGTAGGATAATCTTGAGTGGCAGCTGAGTCCATGTAGCAGGCGGCTAGACGTCCAAGACCACCATTGCCAAGCGCAGGATCTTTTTCTTGAGAGAGCAAATCTTCGAGATTGAAGCCCAGATTCTTGACGCTTTCCTTATAATTATCCTTGACGTGAAGAGAGTTAAGTGCGTTATCGAGGGCACGGCCAAGGAGGAACTCCATGGATAAATAGTAACATCTCTTGGGATTTTGTTTATGCAAAGCTTCTTGTGTAATGTTCCAATCTTCCAAGAGTCTATCTCGAACGGAATGAGCGGTTGCTTGATAAATGGCCCATGCGTCGACATTATATACACCGCGACAGAGGGTAGTGATGGTATGATGAACGATATCATTTTCAATAGAATCAACGTCATTCTTCTCTGGGATGATATGTTTCTTCCAGTTTGAGATGGCTTGCTCATCAAGCTTAAGACGGTATGAAGGACGAGAAGGAACACTGGCAGGAGTAACAGGTTCAGATTTGTCATCATCAACATGGATAATAACATTGGTTAGGCGACGCGTCAACTTGGGCATCGATAAGCGTCGTGGCCTCGTAGTAGATTCACTCATGGTGTGGGAAAGGATAAAGAAAAGGAAGAGATAAGCAATAAACAGCAATGACATAAATACAAGTTACAAGTTGAATCTCAGCATAAATGCTTTCATTGTGATTGCATTTTGTAACTGTCTTCACATCTGATGATTTTTTTTTGACATTTTTCCCCTTTATTTTTTTTTTTTTTTTTCTTGACTACAAGAAAACAGAGACTGTATAATTGTATTTTCGTGGACTTAAATAAATTGAATATTAAGAATGTCCTATAAAGGAAAGGCCGTTACTTTCTTTTTTGTTAGTTACTTGATCTCCTTTTTGTAGGATGTTTGTCATATGAAGCATACACCATTTTTAACAAGATATTAACAAAGAATGTAGACGTACTATTGGTTATCTTTCCTGTTTCTGGCATGACCATATCGCAATCTGTCCTACTTTCCTTTTACGATAAATGGATCCAGAGTTATGCTATATAGATTGATAGACGCGTCTCTTTTTCTCTTTGTCAATTCATTGATCATGTCTTAACAGGCTCAATAGTAAAGCTTGAAAACCAAAACTTTTTGGGGAATAAAGTTTCTCTGCATCTCGCTATAAGGTACACCTTTTAGCCCTGTGAGTTATCATTATTCAAGAAGTTTTCTAGAGCATCAGTACGCAGACGAATTAACTGCCAGGATAGACATTAGTTGCTTCATAGAAATAAAAAAAAATCACTCGAGTCTGTCTTTACCTCAAGAATTGATCAAGTAGCGGGATCGTTAGTGTTTTATTATTCAACAGGGGATGATCAGCATGAAGAAAGGAATACATTAAAGTACATATAGTTACAGATCTGTTTACAGTGTGCCTTAAAAGTATAAATACACTTTCTTAAGATGATCATCTATTTCATTAATTTAAATTTTCATATGTGTCAAGTGAATACATGCTTATTGATGATACTTCTATATTCTAAACAGATTTATTAACAATGTTATTTACATGTCGTTTTCTTGGATTCATCTTCCCAAGCAATGATTTCTCTAAAAGTGAATGAAATACGCTTTTCTCGATGAATGATGCTCCCTTCTGGTGTTATTTCTTCCAAGTCCTTTGAAATAGAGTGTTTATATTTGTATCTTGCATCACCCGATAAAATAATCAAAGAACGACGCGCTATATATGATCCAGTCAGTACATAGTATTCAATTTATAATACACTTACGAAGCACGATATCAATGCTTGGTGATTCTAGCTCTTGTTGCTCGAGGGTGAACTTCATTAGGCAATCAGATAGTAGTGATAGTGATAGGATGTTTGGTCCAAATAAGGCAGGTGCGTCGATATGTGGCATAATACCTTGACCAGCATTATATTCATTGACTAACAAATGATTTGGCTTATTTGGCATCCATTGATGATCCATGATCCTCTTTACAAAAAACTCAATAAATTCAGGCAATGGTCCATATTCTTCCAAAACTTTTCTATTCAACCATGAATTGTGTCTCGAGTATTACTAATGACTCAGTTTGTTACCTATAACGATAACTAAATAAATGACCATATTGCTGTGTTCTTCGCTTTAACTCTGGATTCGGTCTATGTGTATATATATATCTTTAATGTTTGACTATTATAATACAATATATACTTTACCCTATGCCAAGACCTGACCATACTTGCTTATTCACTTCATTGACCAATAATTCTTCTTCTTTCTCTGATACGACATCTTTTATGAGAACCAGTCCTTGTATTTTATTGCCAAGGTCTTCTACCAACATAAAAAGAGGAAAGAGAGAAAAGAAAGAGAAATTCTGAAAAGAGGAGATTGAAAAAAATTACAAGGCAGGTACACACGCACACGCTCTGGTGTCTCCGTTTCATTCTAAAGTCAATCGTCTCAAACAGTTCTTTAGTAAGTTAAGAAGAGTTCATATATGATCAATTGTGTCAAATATGTGACTGTGAGCAATGCGCCACTTTACTTGAATACATGATTGTATTTTAACTTGACAGACCCAAGCTAAAACGATACTTGGCTACTTCAGCTTCTTTGTATATTCCTCATGGCCTGCTTTGATGCTAATAGCAAAAGACATTTTGAGCCTCTTATCAGAGCATTTATCCATCCACAGACCCCTTGATGTTTGCTTCCAGGATCAGCCATATGCATTTTTCTCGGATCCATTTTCTGCATCATAAACTTTACCATAAACCTTGTTAACGCTGCCGAAATTCATTATAAAAAGGGAACTGGAATTGACTTTAATCCATTTTTTATACATTCAAAAAGAACATAGAAAATGCAATTCAAACTCTTGACTCTCGCTCTCTTTGCCAGCTTCTTTGCTACTGGTTTTACCGCACCTATCTATCCTGGATTAACAGAAGCAGAAAGTATATCTATCAGCCCACTCGTCCAAACTTTGGGACTTACAGACCCGACTAAAGAACAAGCTGATTGTATAGGCAAGGTTGCAAAAAATTATAAACATTTGTTTTTCGATGGTGTGGCTACACTTCCAGCATTTGCAAATATAACCAAAGCCAAGTTTAATGAATTATACCAAAAATGTCTCCAAAATCTAATAGGTTTTAAATATAGCGATGCTCATGGTGTTAGTCGTGGCTTACAGTGATATCTATACTCAATTTTCCTTTAAGAAAGTGCTTAGTCCTTTAATATGGAAAGAATATAAAATGAATAGTCATAAAAAGATAAGCTATGTATAACGCCGCTTTGTATGCTTGATATTTAATCAATAAGTTTGGCAAAGGCCATCGTATTCTTTGAAAAGTAATCAGCAATCACTTCAAATCCGTCTTCTTCATGATCTAATTGGTCAAAGAATAAATC